GGGGAGTGTTAAAGGTCGTAATTAGATTGTAATTAGTGGTTGATTAGCTTTATTCTATGTTCCTAATTTATATTCTATTCTTAGATAGATTCCTAAATTTTGTATATATATGTGTAACCCTTTTCCAAAGAGAGAAGAGAATAATATTCTTCACAATATCTTTCACAGTTTGTATGTATGTGTTGGACGTATTTTGACTGTTCCAGCTATATTTTTTGATAAAAAATATGTAAAACTTTGTTTTAATCAAATTTTTACCACTTTAACATTCAAAAAATAAATGTATATAACACAGTCTTCCTTGTAATAACATATGAAAATTGCAAGAGAAATTCAAAAAATTCACTTAAATTTTCCTTTTTATAATTATTTATATATATATGATACAATAAGTATAAAAAATTACTTTAAATTATCAAATTAAAATAAACTAAAAAAAATATTATTTTAGTCAACGTGTCAAGACGACATATCGTTTTGGAACTTTTTCAAAAAATCGCGTGTCGACATGTCCAACACTCATGTCCGTGTCGGTGCTTCTTAGACCAAAAGTCTCGTGTCTCTCAAAATAACGATGCCTTCTTTGAGTTTCACATGCATTCCATTTTTTTATCACAGAACATCTTTTCAAAACTGTACTATTGGAAGGGAAGCTGAAAAATCAACTCTAAATCTGATCACTCCCAACTTGCTCTCACAACCAGCTGCAGCAACAATCATCTCATATAATACCCCAAAATATTTTATAGTCGTTAATTATGAAATTAGGACCTTAGTACAAGATGATGAAAGTTAAGGAATAAAATTGCATACCGGTCAATAGTTGAGGGACTACAAGTACAATTTCCTGAACGATATATATGATATATATGTGTGTGTGTGTGTAATATGAATATGATATATATAGTATTAGTATATCTATGGAAATATTGGATGGAATTAAGTAAATTTCCTTCTTATGTATGAAAAATAAGTTAGGAAGATTCGTTCCTAAATAAGTCAACTACCATGCATGTGTGAATATATAATTATGATTGAATTAAATTATAGTATTACTATAATTACGTATGCATATGTACGTATAATTATATATAATTATGATTGNTTGAATTAAATTATAGTATTACTATAATTACGTATGCATATGTACGTATAATTATATATAATTATGATTGATTGATTTAAATTATATGATTATTATAATTACACACATTTATATATGTATATAATTATATACAATTATGATTGATTGATTTAAATTATGTGATTAATATAATTACCTATGTCTATATGTATGTAATTATGTATAATTATGATTGGTTGATTTAAATTATATGATTACTATAATTACGTACATCTATATATGTATATAATTATATGTGATTTTGATTGATTGTGAAAATTAAGTAAATTTCCTTATATGTGAAAGAAAATTTAGGAAGATTCCTTCCTAAATAAGTAAACTATCATATATGCGTGAATATTATAGATATAATTATATATAATTATGATTGGTAGATTTAACTTGATGATTATTAAAATTACGTGCATCTATATATGTATAATTATATATAATTATGGTTAATTGAGTTAAATTATAATATTACTATAATTACATGCGTCTATGTATGTATAATTATTTGTA